GGCGGGGCTTGGCAGGTGGGCGGGGCCGGGAGGGTTCGGCAGGTGGGTGGAGAGTTTAACTCCAGAGGGAGAGGGGAGTCCTTCAAGAACAGGGAAGAGGCCGAAACTGGTTTGACTCAGTGGATAGAGCGTCGGCCTGCAGGCTCAAGGGTCCCAGGTTCGAGTCCGGTCAAGGACATGTACCTTGGTTGTGGGCACATCCCCAGTAGGGGGTGTGCAAGAGGCAGCTGGTCGATGATTCTCTCTCATTGATGTTTCTGACTATCTATCCCTCTCCCTTCCTCTCTGAATCAATAAAATATAAAAAGAAGAGGGAAGAGGAGGGAGTCCTGCGAGGAACCTGGGCCGAGAGGGCGGGAACTGAAGGACAGGTGTGGCCCACGGAGCCGGAAGGGTGGACCCAACCTGGCGCGGAGCCTTGGAAAGGTTGGGGGCGTGGCTTAGATGTGTGGGCGGAGCCCAGAGGGAGGCGGGGTCTAACTTTGGGCGGGGAAGGACTGAGCAAGAAACCTGGGCCAATGAGGCGAGGGGGCGGGGCCAGAAGCCAATATGGCGGGCCAGGTGGACCGGAGGTGTGAGGCGGGGGCGGCCCGCGCCACCACCGCTGCGGTTAGGTGGGCGGCTGGGGCTGTTGTTGCGGTCTGAGAAGGCCTCCCTCAGGAGTCCCCGGACGCCATCTCCCGGGAGTTACCTTCCCCCGGGAGCGCGCGACCCACCCTTCGCCACCCTTCGGCCTGGCTCTTGGAGATCTAACAGCATCTTCAGCATCTTCACCCAGCCCGGGTTTCAAAGGCGGGTCCTGCCAGCCTCCAGTTGGCCCAGGGGGCCCTTCGGCCCGCCCCTGCACAGCGGTGATTGGACTTTGTCGGCCACTTTGACGTGCAGGAGCCCAGCATCCCGCCGAGAGGCCGGAGGGCGGGATACCGGAGAGCGGGATACCCTTGACTCCTTGGATGACCGGGCCTGAGGCGTCACCGGGACTGTGGCCGAAAGAGGAAGTGGGCCTGGGCCCGGCTAGAGACTTCTTCCTCGTTTTGCAACCTTTCCCCAAGACCCTGAATATTGCACGGTCCCTTATTCAACCCTTATAACAACCCTATTATGTGCAAGTGCTAATACCACACTCCTCCTGCATCACAGATCATGAACCTGCAATCTGAGGGTTAAGTCATTTGCCCGAAGTCATACAACTGGCTAAACAGCAATCCAGGATTCTGAGAAAAGCAGCTGTGTTGAGTTCCACCTCCCAGCCTTTGGCAGCCATAGGAATGCTTTTGGCTTCCTGTTGGTATCCTGGGTGCCTCAGTGTGCTTATGTGCTTGCTTCTTTATATATATATATAGTTTTTAAAAATACATATATTTTACTGATTTCTTACAGAGAGGAATAGAGAGGGATAGTTAGAAACATTGAGAGAGTTATCAATCAGCTGCCTCCTGCACACCCCTCACCCGGGATGCGCCCGCAACCATGGTACATGCTCCTGACCAGAATTGAACCCAGGACCCTTCAGTCCGCAGGCTGATGCTCCATCCACTGAGCCAAACCGGTTTTGGCTATATATATAAATTTTAGAGAGGGAGAGAAACATCAACGATGAGAATCATTGATTGGCTGCCTCCTGCACTCCCCACACTGGAATGTGCCCTGACTGGGAATGAAACTGAGACCTCCTGGTTCATAGGACAACGCTCAACCACCGAGCCATGCTGGCTGGGCTGTGCCTACTTCTTTATTATTGGGATGTCATCCATTGACCCGATCATATCATCACCCCTGGACATGCTTTTTCCATCTGTAGTTTTTCTACTGGTTCCTCTCATTTGAAACACTCCGCTCATCCCTTTTTGTCATCTCTCACCTTCCCTCCCACCTTCCACTGTTCATCTTACCTTTGTATTGTCATTGCTGAACACTCTACTGTCCTGGGACCATAATAAGTCCCTGAGTTGCTACTTAAAGGGAAGAGTGGTTTACATGGTTGGGCCTTAGTAAACAATGCACTCAGTCAAGTAGTTGTCCATGACGATTCTGCCTGTATTGTACAAATGTTTGTTTCTCCTGCTCTTATCCTTTCTTTTCTTGTATGATTAGACCGTCATAGCTTTAGTTTCTTTTACATTTTCTATAAAATCAACTCTCTTGACCACTCGACAACCCTAATATCCCCCCTGAGCTCTCTCATCTTGCTGCATGACTGGGCTTCTGGGGACATTACTTCTTCCTCTGCTCCTAGTACACAATACTGACTCTCACTCCCCCACCCCTAACCCCAGCTCTGCCCTCAAACAAAAAGACAGTAGTCGTCACAGGATAGTAATTTTATATTCAGTACAAATGTTTATTTTTGCAATGAGAACTGCACAAAAAAAAAAAAAAAAAACCTTTAGTATATAAGTGAAAAGTCTACGAATTCCCTTCTACAAATGTCTAAAGTGTTTAATACAAGTCTCAGATTCACTGACATAATTATTGGCCAAGCGATCCGTGCATACAGTACAGTGGGGGCTTGTACACACCTCTCACTCTTGTACAGGACTAAGATTTCTAGTACTGTGGGAGGGACTGGGAAATGGCCAGAGAAATTAAATAGATCGATCCAAGTTTTAATCATAACCCAGTTAGAGAAACACCTATGAGGGAGGTGTGGAGAGGGCTATGGCAGAATTCACTCTTTAGAAGGAAGGTGGAGACAACCATTTCTCCAGCTAAATAGCCGGATCTGTGTGCATCTGGGGAAGTGTCAGAACAAAAAACGAGGGGGGGGTGTGGGATGAGATAGAAGCAACCCCAAAGAACCAAAATGTACGTCATACTTGAACCAGCAGTGTTTATGAGGAAGAGCCTGGAGGATGGGGCAGGGGCGCAGGAGAGGTGGTGGTGGTGGGCTGGCTAGATGCCAGAACTGCACCTCTCTGGAGGTTTGGGAGATCCCAAACACAATACACTGGTCATGGGGGTGTGGATTAATAAACAGTGCTAGCAACATTTCCGTTTGTGTCTCTGCATACATATAAATGATATACTTTCATCTTTCACCCTAGGGGCTGCTCCTAGGTACCCCGCTTGCCTTGTGGCTACTGATGGGCATACAGACAAGGGTGGCCACCTGGTGGACTCTCTCTGGCAGGAATGTGCATCTGGGTGTGCATCTGTGTGCATGGGAGGGAGGATCCTATTGGGAAGATGTACACTTATCTAAGAATATCTGGTTAACCCTGAGCTTAAATGAAAAGAGTTAAGAAGAGGGAGACAAAGTGGGAGAGGTGGCCCAAGTCCCCTGGTGAGTAGGGGACAAGGATGTAAGAGAATACTGTCTGGAATCTGGCCAGGTTCCCTGGAGCACACCACCTGCCAAGGAGGGAAGAACGGGCACCTGGGCTCCCTGTCACAGCTTCAGCTTGGGATGGCAGGGGAAGACCGCGGGAAATGGGCTAGGTGGTCCCTGGTGGGAGTTATAGACATGATTTGGGGGTGGAGATTCCTGGGCCTAGCCTAGATAACAGGTGGTTCACAAAGAAATGTCAGGGAGACACCAGCATTAAAAAAGAGAGATGTGTTTATTCCATGATCAGTACAGACCAAATGCATATTCACTGTATGAAAGTCAAACCAGTCACTGACTCCAGAGTATGGCCAACACTGAGGCACCAGTGTTGTGGTGTAGAGTGGGTTATCATGGCACGTGTAACCTCACCAAGGGCTCCAATGATAAAACTTAAAAAAAAAAAAAAAAAAAAAAAAAGTGAGGGAAGTGCCCACAGGTGGCACCAAGCGGGTGCCAGGCCAGGAGCCTCTGCCTCAGTCTGTGGCCCTGGCACCCACCTTGTCCCCTAGCCCGACCCTTCCTTTTCTGGTAAAAAAAAACAACTCAAAACAGATTTGACATTAAAAACAAAGAAGCCAATGAATGGGGTTGGAAAAAGAAAACACAGCTTTCTGGTTTTGTAATTAAAAATAGACTAATAAAGTTTGAAACTGAGTACAATGTAGGCAGTTTTTTTGTGTGTGTTTTGTGTTTTGTTTTGTTTTTGTGGGTTTTTGAGGTTTTTTACACCATTTTGGTGGAGTCACCAACAAACTTCAAACAAAGATATGCCAACTATGTTTCACTATACAGCCACAGTCACACACTACCCACAGCGCAGTGGCAGCTGCTGCCCAATGACGAGAGGATTACACCATTTCAGAGATAAGCAGTGCCATTGTTCGGAGGAGAATTAAAAATAAAATAGAATCCAACAACAAAAAAATATATATAGAAAAAAACCCAGAAACACAGGTGGGAAGGAACTGACTTTGGTTGGTGGCCTCACTCACCAGGCGAGGCTGGCCCACACGCGCGTGACAGTCACCTCGCTCTGGATTGCCATGGACACACACACCTCCACGGCACTATTCCCTTTTGCACAAGCAAACACTTACAGAGAGCGGCTCTTGATTAAAGGCTTGTTGGGGGAGGGCTGGGGTGGGATCTATCTGTTCAAGGCAAAGTCAGTGCCAGCAAGGGGGTGGACCGGTGCCCTCTCTTGCTTCCAGCTCACTTGGGCCTGTCCTGCTGTCCCGGGGCAGGCATCTGAGGCTGGGGTGGGGAAGGACTCCCGGCAGGCAGGACGTCATGAACGTCACGTTCTCGGGGACGGAAAACCAGTCACGGTGACGGCAGCGACGATGTCCTCTGTGTACTGTGTAGACATTTGGCGGAGAGTAGTTCTCTGCCCACACGCGGGGACGCGGACTTGGGTCTGGCCGACACTTGCTCATAGTGAGACCTGTTCTGAACTGTTGTCCTGTGAGGGTGGCAGGACGTCCGGCTGGCTGTAAGGCAGACGGGCTCTACAGTCCTTAGCTGCCCATCAGGCCTGCCCTGGCATAGCATGCACAAGGGCCAGGCCCAGAGACAGGTTGTGGATGCTGCTACCTCCTCCGCTGCCACGCCTAACACTATGGAGAGTCAACTTTTTGCCAGAAAATCAAAGTCAGAAGTCACCTAGGTGCTCTCAGAAAAGATTTTCTTCAAATATTGACAATAGGTCACTCTGGAAATTCATGTCAATGGTAGCTGCCATCTGGAGGAAAGAGGAGGGAAGAGTCAGAGAGTGAGAGGACCCCCCTCCCCTCCAGCATCGGCAGCTCCCTTAGGGCCCATTCCCTGAAACCTCATGGCTCCAAGGCCAGCTCGTGTGGACAAGCAGGCTCCTTGCTCCAAGCACACACTGGAGGTCTCCCTGCCTGACCCTCTCCGAGTTCAGGTCCCCACTCCCAACTCCTCCGGGGCTGTACTCCTGCCCTGGGGTTCCCCAGCAGGGCCCTTGACTCACCGCTTCCCGGCGCCTTCGCTCCTGCTCCCGCTTTCGGGCCAGTTCCCGTTGCTGGTCCAGCATGGACTGGGGCTGGGAGCTCTGGGCCTGGGGGGCGGCGGCCGCTGCAGCCACTGCAGCTGCTTGTTGCTGCTGCTGCTGCTGCTGCTGCTGCTCCTGTCTCTGCTGCTGCTGCTGCTCCTGGCGCCGGCGTGCCTCCTCGTGGGCTCGCCGGGCCTGCTCCAGTGCGTCCTCATCCTCGCGGCTCCTGAGCAGAGCAGGGCTCCAGGTCAGCCTGGGGCCTGGGGCGCCCCAGGAGCCCCCGCCCGCGGAGCCCGCGCCCACCTCATGCGCTCCTGCCGTAGTCGCTCCTTCTCCTTCTCGGCGTGTTCAGCCTGCGCCTTCAGGGCCTTTTCCCGTTCCTCTTTCTCACGGGCAGCGCGTCGGAACTGCTCAAAGCTGTCACTCGATGACTTAGCTGTGGAGGACGGGGTGGTGGGGTGCTTCTGCACCAGGCTAGCCCAGGAGCCCATGTTCTTGATTTTAAGGTCCTGTGAGGCAGAGAGAGGGTGGGTGAGGGGGCCCTGCTGCCATATGGAGGTCTCTATGGAGAGAGGGGAGTGAGGTGCACTTGTGGGCCCACGGACCCTACCTTTTTAGGGGCAACTGGCGTTTTCGGCTCCTGTTTCTGTTTGTCCTTGTCGGGAGCCCCTGTTGGGGGTGCATTCTGTTCAGGGGGCCGGATCACAGGCCTTCCAACGTCCACGGGCTTCATCTCAGGCCCTGGAACACAAATAGCCTATGGGCCTGGATCCCCAATGGGGCAGGCATGGCGGACTGGCCGCCAATAAGCAGCTCACATTTAGCACTGGCAGAGCGGACGGGACACTCACGCTGGGGCAGGTGGATGGGAGGCTTGATGTTCTCCGGGTGCTTGGGGGGCTCCGGCCGCAGCGAGGGGCTGAAGGGCTCGCTGCGGATAATGGGTGAGTGGATCTTCTCTTCCTTCACCACCACCAGGGGCTGGGGCTGGGACTGGACCACAGAGGCTGCACGCAGCTCCTGGGACGGCACAGGCATGGCGACCGGTGAGGCAGGCAGGCGGCCTTGGCCCTGGCCCGTGCCTGGACCTGGGGGCCGAGGCCCAGCCCTGCTCTTTACCTGCTTCTTCGGCTGGACACTTTGCTGGGGTGGCGATTGGTGGGTCAGGCTCTGGAACTGTTGCATCTGGGGGGAATGTATCATAAGCGGGGAGGGGGCTTCACGGAGGTGACCTAGGAAAGGGGACAAGGAGCATGTCAGCCGGATTGGTGTGGAGGCTGCTAGTCCTGGCCCCGTCTGGTCCCCCAATCCAATCAGAGCCTCACCAGGGAGCTCCGCCACATGGAGCCTGTGAGCCTGCTCAGCGTGGAGCAGGGTTTTGTGGAGCCATGCTCTCAGCTCTATGGCAATGCCTGGGTTAAATGCAAGGCACATCAATTACCGCACAGAATAGGCAGCCTGGGTCCTGGCTGTTCCCGTGTGGCCTGCCCTGCCTGTCTACACAGCTGCTTCAGGCCTACAATAGCCTGGAATAAGCCTGCACCACAGCAGAGTTAGGGAACAGATCCTAAGCTTGTGGTTCCTGTAGGAAGTGGGCCAATCCACCGATCTTTATCCCAACAATGGTGCAGGGACCTAGGCAGCCATAGGGTACAAACACCTATATAGGGCAGGCGCCTGGAAAGCCCCATACTGGTCCCTGGGAAAGGTGTGGCTAGGCACTGAAGCCTGACACCTTAGCTTCATTGGTGAGGTAATAGCCTAGATCAAGTGGGCCAGCCCCTCAGGACTGGGCAGCGGAGGAGACACCAAGTCCTGCCCTAAACTTTTCCATTCACTCTAGCAAGGGCACACCCTCCAGCCTGAATCCCACATGTCTTGGCCAGCTCCACCATGGGACACGCCACAGCATCCACAAAAGACACCGTTCTGCAGGGTCTGTGTTCCTGGTCCGTCCTCACACTGAACCACCTAACCCAGGCTCTGTGTACCGCCCTGCCTCTTCTGCCAGCACAGACACCCTCAGGCCCTCTACAGGCCCCTTGGGCAGAGGTGCCCATTTTAGTGGGCCTGGAGATGACCCACAACTGATTGCTCTACACTCTCTCTCGAGTCAGAACAGCTGCTAAGGAGATGACACGATGGCAAGTACCAGTCTTGTGCCTGTGCCTTGGCCCCCAGCACAGGCACAATTCCTATGATCTGAAGGAATCGCCTGCCAGCTGGTGGCTTCCTCTACCAACACTTAGAGGGGAGGCCCCGTGGCGGTGCCTGAGAGCTGGCTCAGCACCCAAGGATGCTGCTGTGTTCCTTAGGATTCCGATGCCCTGGCCTTAGACCCAAAGCCCTAGCTGGGTTCTAATTCCCCTCCCCCCGCCCCGGCTCTTCTAAAGGTCTCGTCGTCTATCACCACTCACTACTGGAAGCCTGGCCTTGCTCACGGATGGGAAGAGGCAGAGCTGCATGGCTGCCAGGACCAGCTCCCGTCTTTCCCAGGGAGGACAGCCTGCTGTTCTCGGCCCAGGTCTGCAGCAATCCACTCGGTACCTGGCAGCTTTTGCTGGGTTTGGCAGCAGTCACAACATAAAGTTATGGCCTGTTCAATTTGTGAGCAATGCTGCATCCCACAGGGACCTCAACTCTGACCCTTGTGCGTCAGTACACCATGAGGCATCGATGGCACATTGCACCCTGGGCTGGCCAGAATGTTTTGTTTACAGACATTTAGATAACAAATGCCCAAGAAGGGCAAGAGAGCGCGACCTGACCAATGCTGTCGGAAAATACGACAGCCTGGACCAAGCAGCAGGAGACAGGAATGGTTTCAGGGGAAGGTGGGAGGCACACTATCTTTGATCTTCAGCCCAATTCTCCCCAACATGGTCCTGGCTCCACCAAATGGGCCTCAGACACCAAGACCAGAGCACCCATTCCTGCAGGTTATCAAACAGCCCCCACTGCCCACACCTGCCCCTGGATTTGCCTGGAACTCCCCCCCTCCCCCCCGTTAAACTAACTGCTGCTCATTCTCTGGCCACCTTCTCCTGGAAGCCTGCTCTAACCACAGATGGGAGTGCCTCCCAGGTTCTAGGCTTCCCACATAGCAGGAATCACCATAAACTGTAACATTCTTGACTGAGTTCCAAGAGGAGGGCCAGTGGGGGCCTTGTTCTCAGCCATCTCAGCTTGCACGCAAGACATACCTGATAGACACACTACAAGAAGCACCCACACCAAGGCAGCCACCCCTCTCCAACCTCAGCCTGAAGCATGAGCTGACCTGCCTGGCTACTCAAAACCCTGGACCCAGTCCTAGCCTCCCTGGCTTAGGATTAGGGTTAAGGTAAGGATTAGAAACCAGAGGCCACTTACTGGTTGAGTAGGGGTCCGACTTGTGGTGCCGGGGTGAAGGGTGATGCTGGATGACTTGCTGAGGCTTGGCGGGCTGCGGTGGGGGTGGCTGCTGGCCCTGGGGTGGGTGGGGGGGCTGTGGGCCTGGGGGTGGCGGGGGCTGCTGGATGTGGGTAGGGAACTGCATGGGTTGCATATGCACAGGTCGGGGGGGCGGCTGGTGCTGTGGCTGCGGCTGCGGCTGCGGGGGTGGAGGAGGTGGTGGCGGCTGCTGTAACTGCTGCTGCACTGAGGGATGAGGCGGGGGTGGCAGGGGTGGCGGGGGCTGGGACTGCACCTTCACGGAAGGGAGTAGAGGTGTGGGGGGCTGCACCTTCTGCAGCTGCTGCAGGTAGAGCTGCATCTGCATGGAGGTGAGGGGTGGGGCGGGTGTCTCCTCTTCCTCCTGCAGCAGCACTTGGGGTGGCTGGGCCATGGGGGGCTGTGGGAGCAGGGGTGGTTGGGCCAGAGCAGGTGACACAGAAGGGGGCCGGGCAGGCTTGGGGGGCAGGGCGGCAGCTCGGTTGCTGGGCCTCGATGGCTGCTGGGGCAACGCGTTGTGCAAAGCTAGAAGGACACAATAGTGTGGCAGTGAGACTCCTGTGGTCCTCAGCCCGGCTGTTCTCCTCCAACCTGACCTTCCACCCACCTCTGACAAGCACTCTCTCCCACCCTCCTCAGGTTCTCACCAGCCTCAGAATAAAGACAGCAGCCAGGAAGGTCTACGGGGGGGTCTGGCCCTCACTAGTGTTGTCCTGCCAGGTGGCCTGTGCCTCCCACCTCCCTCCCTTCCTCCACCTCGTCCCGGTCTTTAAGTCTCAAAGCAGGAATGTCCTAAATGCCCCCATCTGACCCTCCTATCTGGGATGAGTGTGTGTCCCCCAATTTGTAACTGGGGGTTACAGAGGGGTCACATATTTTTTGCCTGACCCAGCACAAATGAATCTTCTGTACCAAAGCACTGTCTGCAAAGGCTATTCTGGGGTGTCTTGGGTAATTCCCACAATGGTCCCGAGAAGCTGGTGACATCCCCTTACAGACAACTGAAGCTGAGATGGGTTCTGAAGTTTGTCCCGAGTGCCCAGTGGCAGAATGGTGAGACCAGGGTGGGAAAGGGCCTCCCTGAACCTGGGCAGCCACGGCCACAGCTCACCTGGAGGAGAGACCACTGAGTGCTGGTTGAGATGAGGCGGAGTGCTGTGCTCGGGTGGCTGGGGGAGGTGAGGGGGCAGCTCGGGCTGCGGCAGGTGCAGGATGGGTTGGGTGAAGTGGCCGATGGGGTCGAAGACGCTGCCTGGGAGCTGGGGCTCCAGGACGGGCACCTGGGCGGCGATGAAGGGCGGGGGCGAGGACTTCATCGTGGGAGCAGTCTGCTGTGGCATGGAGGGTGGGGGTAGTGGGGGTGGCTGCTGCTGCTGCTGCTGCGAAGGTGGGGGTGGCGGGGGCTGCTGGGGAGGTGGTGGGGGCTGCTGGGGCACAGGGCCTGGGGCCTGCTGCAGCTGCTGGTGATGGTGGTGATGGTGCTGCAGACAGACAGACAGAGGCTGATGTCAGGCAGGCAGAACCCTCCGGGCCAGCCCCAGGGTCCCCCGGGGCCCAGAGATACAGGTGACCACCACGCCCCTAAAGGAAGACACCTCTATGATCACGTACCTTCTTCTGCTCCCTCCCAGGGTGCCCCTTCTTTTTTGACTTCGGAGCCATCTCTGTGAAGGAAAAGAGAAGGCAGTGAGGTCTAGGGGAGAAGACTAAGCTGCCTTGGATGTAGAACCAGGAGAACACAGGGTGAGTTCTGGAGAACCAGTGACAGTGACGGGCTGGCTGGATTGTCTGGTATGAGAGTCTGTTATGGGAAGAAGACAATGTGGGAGTGTCACCTACCCATCTGCCTGCCACTTTTCTTAGCGGGGACTATGCCTGGAAGGCCCCCTGCCCCTCCTGACCCCTAGCTGCATTAAAGAATGACACCAGGGAACTGGGGGTTGGACTCTGTAGACCTCTTGCCCAACATCTCCCCTTACTTTCTGGTGATAGGCCACTAAGGCAATCTGAGTGTCTACACCCTTACCCACTGTTTTGGAATATCTATGGTGTTGGAAATGATCATAACCATTTGACAGAAGTCAAGGGAGTTGCCCTGGATCACACAAGTGTAAAGGAGCCACACAGCTGCCTCCAATGACTGAGGTGTACTCCTTCCCATCCCCCCAGGAAGCAAATAGATTAAGTTAGGGTGAGGGTGTGGTGCAGGCTTGAGCCAAAGTCTGGCCACAGAACCATGGTACAGGTGAGGAGAGTGCTGACACGTGGAAGGCCACAGTGTGAGTACTTTAAGGGGAGGGGGTGAAGGGGGGAAGGCAGGCCAGCCAGCAAACCTCCCAGGAACCACCAGGACAAACAGGGAGATGCTCAATGCCATGGCCAGCTTCTCCTTCCTCTCGAGAGGGGCCTCGGAAAAGCTGTGCTGGTATGCAGTGGACGTGCTGCAGGGAGAAGGCAGCATGTGCCCTGGGTCCTCAGGTCAACAGCTCGGTGCCGCCACTGTGTGAACACATCTGTGAGGAGTGCGCTAAGAGCCAGCATGCCCCCCTTACCCACTCTAAGGAACTAGTCAGCTGAATGCCCCTCGCCAAACTCCACTGGTATGCAAACCCCAGAGAGAGGGCAGGAGAGAAGCCAGGCCGGTGCTCATGGGCTGCGAAATGATGAAGTTGCTAACCACCAGGTGGAAAGCTGGAAAGCTCACGTCTCTTTTGCCTGCCATCCCCTGGCTCCTTGCCAGGATGCTGGCTCTTGCTGCTAGGGTCAGAAGACATAGGCTTTGCCCAAAGCAGGGCTACCTCTTCACATAGTTGCTTCACGGAGTGCCATGCAAAGGTTCTGTGAGGTGCACAGCCTCACGGTGCTATACACCACCCAAAGGGATTAAGGGATTTGATGCCTTGCAAGAGTTCACCACTCCATGCGCGAGACAAGACAGTGACACAGAGCTCAGCAGCTAGACACACACCCTCATACAAATGGCAGCAATTGGGACACCTGGGACATGAGAACTGTAGGCCTAGCCCCAAACTGGGACACTCAAAATTCCAGGAGACGGGGCTCAGGACTCTGGGTCACAATAGGACACCTGGGGAAAGGGATACTGCTGTGGGTAAGACATTCAAGGGGACAGTGTAGGTGATTTGCAAAACCAAGGCCATAGGTTCTGGCGGCTACATGGTGGAGAATGGGGGGAAGCATTGTACTGAAGATGCTAGGGCCCAGAACCAAAGGGACCTGCACGTGCTGGGGGAAAGCTCAGTGCTGAGTGGCCACCAAACTGGAAGAGGCTTGGTTGTTCCCCCCAGAAAGGATCCTCTCCCAGAATCAATTCCATGGACAGAAACTGTATGTCGAGGGAGGCTGCGGACAGTTGTTCATACACTGGGCATGCTTTTGGGGAGCCTGGTGTGTGTAACTGGGGGAAGAGGGCCAGTGGGTAAATTCTGACCAGAAGACACTGTGGCATGGGAAGAGAGTGGGGGTGGCCTGTCACCTTATGCACTTGGGGAAACACTGTTTTTGCCACCAAACAAGAGGAATGGCTCCGAGTCCTCTCTCCCCATAGACTGTGTGGGGAGAGAGGCTCCTATGAGAACACTTGGGGACAAAGTGCAATGGGACCCTGGGGGTTCCAGGAACAAGTCTTGGCTGCCTTGGAAAGGTCACTGGGAGTAGTTCAGGGCTCCGTGGCAGTGCCGGGTAGGACAGCCTTAGAGTGGAAGAGAGGCTGGAGGCACAAAGCATACCTCAGGACCAGAGGGCTAAGAGAACCGGCGGGGACCAAGGGTGTTGGAGCCAGTTTGGGAGAGTGCATCTGGCTCATGTGGCCAGAGCCTCATGTTGGAGTGACTGGTAGGAAGACAAAACAGAGGTGCACGGCTTCACGACACACCAGCCCCAAGACACCCCCACACAAAACTCTCTAGAAAGGGTTACATGAAGATGGCCTCAAGTACTGTGTGATCTTTATTCCATGAAAATCTTGAACTGAACACAAATGTCATCTTTACATAGGATGGTAATTGTACAAAGAATTAAAACGTTTTTGTAAAATCTGATTAAAACACTGATTCCTCCTCCCACACCCCCCAAATCAAGGGAAGGAGACAGGATGGAGAGTAAGGGCAGGGAAAAGGTAAGGAGCCCTAAACTGAACTAAGTAGCGTCTTGGAACAGTGGGCTCCCTCCCCTCAGCAAGTCCCTAGGACCCGAAGCCAGCTGGTGAGCTGAGGCTTGGCTGGCACCTCCCACTGCCCGAGCACAGGGTCTTCAGTAGGGAGAGGGCTCTGCTCTGTGCCTGGGGCACTGGGCACAGGTGAGAGTTGGAGTCTAAAGATCATGTTCTCTGCCCGATGAAAACCCACGGGCAAGAAGAACAGGATCCCTGAACAGGGAGGGTGCGAGGACTCCGTAATCTTCGACTACAGTCCATGTACAAGTGTGTGGGAAGGGGTGGGGTGGCACATGGCTGACACTGTGGGAATCCGGCTTCCATTTGTTCTAAGAAACTTCCCAGAAAGACAGTGCCAGCCACTTCCCAACTGTCCTTTGGGAATCTCTGGGCATAAAGACCCCTGGCCTCAGCTAGACCAAGCTGTACTGGGAACACATCAGGCACAGGCCAAAGGGCAACTCAAATTAGTCTGTTTGGCAAAGAGTGCTTGACTGGAAGTTGACTGGCCAGAGGACCAGAGAGCAGCCTAGACCTCCCAGCATTACAGCAAGACCCTAGAGGCTGGGTGTGCGGGTGGGAGGCTAGAGCTAGAACCCAAGGCCAAGGCCAGTCTGAGGCAGCAAGAGCTGCTTGGGCCTGTGGATGGTGAACTGCACCTCTTCAAGCCAGCTCCAGTTCCAGAAGGCTGGCTTCAAGATGCCAGCAGATGGCAAGGTCTTAAAGTATGCGCAAACTATATTAAAAAAAAAATTCTTTTTAAGGCTGATGCTGTTCCTCAGGGGACTTTTTCACCAGGCAATTTTCTGCTAAGATGCTGGATTCATGACCAAAAAAGGGCCAATATTTATTTTTAGAGCACAAAAGCCTCGTCAGTGCCTCTCAGAGGGCTTATATGATGCGGCCACGCTGTCCTGCCAAACTCCCAGCAGAAGCCATTATTCCAGGGGACTAAAACAGGAGGGTGCTCGCACTGGCCATGTCTCTCAGAGATGTGCCGGAGCTGGCTCTAAGGGCTTTGATCCCCTTACCACTGACCATTCAGTGCCCTGGATTTTAAGAGCCCTTTCTCACCTACTAACCCAGACGCTGACACTACTGGGGGCAGAGATGATGGGCTCCAGGGGCCAGGTCACAGCCGCCTCCCCGAATGCCCTCACCAGTGGCCACCGCACTGCAGCCTGCTCCTGTTCACCTGGAAAGGACAAAAGGCAGCCCAGGAGGTCCTTTCCCTACGCGACTTTAGAAGAGGCTAAAGAAATTGGGAAAATGCCCAATAGGCAACCACGGGAACACAAAAATGGAAGGACTCCAGGAGCTGTGAGTCAGCTGTGGCTGGTGATAGCCTTTGGCTGATGGAGCTGCAGTGGCCACTAAAAAAAAGGTGTGCCGAGGCACAGCCCCCATTCCTCACTTGGGAAAGCTCTAGGTATTAGTGTGTTCTTTCTTCCATAGGATGAATGAGATCTCCTCTGGGATCTACATATCACTGCCAGGTCCAGGAGGGAAGTGGTTAGGATCCAGAATCCCAGAAAGAGACAGAGGGATGAAGAGAGAGATAACATACTTGTGATGGGGCCTTGCACATGGAGCAGCACCACACACATGCGTGTGCAGCGAGATTGTCATCACTCTGGGAGACGCCACCCACCCAGAGGAACCCAGACGACCAGGGAGGCTGGGCGGGACAGCCGGGCAGTCTGTACACAGGAGGCCCGGGCGGCCAGCCAGGCAAGGCAGCCTTCCCGGAGGCGGGACTAGGCGTGTGCTGCTCTGATGGACATGACTAATGCACCCTGGGGACAGGCCCAGGGCTCTGAGGAATTCCATAACTTGATGGAGTCCTGTCCCTTTCACAGAAGAAAATGGACTTAAGCTAGAGCTTGCTGGGAAGGAATCTGGAACTGAAGACCGTTTTATTAAGAGTCCGTGTCCAATGATTAGGCAGGACCTACATAGAGGGAAAGAGAAACCAGTGTGAGAGAAATGGTGTGGAATGTACCGTTCCAAGTCACAAGAACAGAAGAACTGCAGACCGAGCCAGCCTCCTGTGCCCTGTTCGCTGACAGGACACCAGAGAACGGCGCCGGAGACTAGGAGCCCTGCCCAGCCTGGCCAGCTGAGAGCAGGGACAGACCCACCTGCCCGTTACAAGGGCCATGGACATCTCTGAAACCACCCATGCCCGTTTATGCTTTTAGACAAAACTGCTTCGAGGATTGGGGCCCATGTATACCCTGAATGCACAATAGCATCTACTTTACCAGTCTTAATGTGAGGTCTCTTCCTATTCTACTTGCCTGTCCTACCAGCCTGGTATTCGATGCCATCAGGCCCCACAACTCTGAGCTTGTTCCCCTGGGCCTGCTTTGCTGCACTTTGTCCATCTCAGGAAGGTGATTTGGCTCTACTCAGGACTTGGGGAGAGGGAAGAAAAGATAGGGGCTCTCGAAGGTAGCATCTACAACTAACATCTCATTTCTGCATTCCTACAAACCCCAAGAAACAAAAAAGTGAACTATAAAAAGAGAATCAGTTACAGACACTGTTAAGGGGGGTGGGGCGTAGAATAAAATAAAAACAGGCCAAGGAGGAAAGTCGTCCTTTCTTTTTCTGGGACATGGGATTCAACTCCCCTCGACCAGGCAGAAACATAGGGTCATTCCCACCCAAACAGCAGAGCAGATGCCTCTGCCAGAGTCCCGGATGCATGGACACTGACTGCATTCCCATGGCCTCCCAGTGCACGCATGGGAAAAACCCGCCCACTGGCTCAGCCTCTCACTCAGGGCACATTCCACAAGGCTAGCCCCGCCCCAGAATCCCGACAGCTGCATGTGGGTGTGTGAGGGGTCACCTGGCAGTGTGGGCAGACTGGTTACAGCCCAGTCCTCCAGGTCTCTGCCTACTCCCCCAGCCCCACCCCCACCAGGGGCCTCTCCACTGCCCTGAGAGCAAGCGGCACACCCTTGGAGCAGGCAACAGCAGGTCCCAAGAACAGACTGGGACCAAGTCCCTCAGAGACTCTGTGGGTCAGAAGCTGAGGCTGGTTGTCTGGGAAGAATGCCCCATGGCCTCTGCCTGCACTTTCCAGCTCAAATCTTTCCAAAACATAAAGCATTCCTTTCCCCCTGGAGCTATTAAAAAACACCCACATGCTTCAATCCTGGGAAAAGGAAAAGAGGAGACTAAAATAGCTGGAGTGTGCTCCAGTTGCAACTAGAAGACCAGGCCAAGCCCAAAAGAATACCCCACAACTCTGAACCTAGGTCCCAGCCCTGGTAGTCGATGCCAAGGGTTGCTGCTAAGAGGGACACAAGTTGTGTGTCCGCCCCCACCCAAAAAGAGCCAGACATCAGCAATATAATGGAGGGAAACAGGATGAAGAATCCTAGGACATCTCGGGCCCCATGAACTCGCTCGACAGGATCCTATAGCACTGGTGACAGGGGAGCCGCAGCCACCTGGGACAGCAGTGGAAAGGGAGAACTGGGGCACCTTTAGCCTGCCTAGATAAGGTCTACAGATACCTTAGGGCAGTGGGATGCTGACACTTGCACTCACTCTGTCTTCCCAATACTGAACTCTCAAGCAGATTCACACTTCAAGTTAGAGCTGGGCTCAGAAAATGTGGTGGGAGAGGCTAAAAGCTGTGTGCTCTGAGGGGGAGATCATGTGCCAGAACGGGACTGGGCTGGGAAAGCTATGCCTGCCCTCCTCCCCTATTCTGTGAGCACACCACCTCCTTGAACTGCAAAATGACCCCGAGGACCAATCCCATGCCCTGATCTGTCCTCAGCATCCTTATCTGTGAACAGTAGCCAGAGGAAGGGTCCCCGAGTTAGTGCCTCTGCTCAGTTTCTTTTGGTGACTCATGTCTCGGGGCTGTATTGGCAGAACTCTTACTTAATAAAAGGGACAAAATATAGGCCCCTTCAGGAATTTTAGCTCCAATACAAATAAAAACACAAGGAGGGAAAACCAATTTAAGCCCCCAAAGACCAAGTAAAATACCTCTAATATGCCTGCCCCGGCAAAACCACCTGTAACTGGTTGCAGAAACCGGGGCTGTCCAGCTCCATGGACCCATCATGAGCAGCTGCTGGAAGAGCTGCCTGGGAAGTGAGTGCAGTTTCCTGTGAGGGATGGGTGGCAATGGTTGTACTCAGTGGTTCAAGGTCACAGGCTCCCATCTTGGGACCTGGAACATCTGAGCCACAGGAACACAAACCCACAGGATGGGTCCTTCCTGAGAGCAGAAGCCTCTACTAGCCCAGAACAGAGCTCTCCAGTACAAACTTGTGGAAAAGGAAAGCCAGGACCATGAAGGCAAAATGGAGACTCACAAACCCAAGGTGTGAAGGGTGCATGGGAAGAGGGATAAGCTGGAGTCAGGCTGGTTAACCAGAGCCCAAGTTCCTGCAGGCTGGCAGCTCGGAGACTGTAAATCTCATCCTCCTTCCCGCCAAGACAGCTATTCCCAGGATTCTCAGATTACTTGTTGCACAATCTTTCCACTTTCTTTAAAGGAGGGGAAAATGTGAAGGGGAAAAAAAAAGAAAAGAAAGAAAAACATGTTGGCAACAGGAAAGAGCTATTGAAAATGCCGTAATGGTCACCCCATAAAGACGGCAGCAGGACAACTCGGGAGCCTTGGAGTGGTCTTGCTAAGCTTGAGGGGCAGGGGCAAAGGCCAGTCATAGCCCCCTAAGGTACCACATCAACCAAAGTAGTTCACACTAAGCCAACCTGGCTGATTTAATGACCAGGCTGCATACCAATTTTAGCCTTTAGTGTTTTCTTTTGACCACTTGAATCCTTAGGAGAAAGGATGAGAAACCCCTAAGAGTAGCAGCCTGCTAGGAACCCCCGAGTGAAGGCAAACCCTAGGTGTAACTGGCACCCAAAGTGAGAAGTCAGCTGCTACCGGGAATGCTATTTGGGCCCAGGAATACAGCCATTCACCCAGCAGAGGGCAGCAGCCTGGCTAGGCAGCCCTTTCCAGGGCAGGCATGGGCTGTGGGCACCCCCTGCTGGTAAATGGATAAAAATGGAATGGGGGGTGGTGGTAAAAAATAAAGTAAAATAAAGGATGGTGACAAAGGTGACCTGCAAGCTGTACACATTAGCCTCTGCATACAGTAATACCTCAATAAATACAGAACATGGCCTAATGAATTCCTTCTCATTTGGGCCCAATGAAAATGAGGTAATTCAGCATTTGGAGCCTCAGGAAAGCCCTCAGCACCCTCTTAATTTCCCTGCAGGCGAGTTCCCCACTCACTTGGAAAGTCTGGTGCCCTTACTTAAATAGGGAAGGACAGTGACAAGGACCAGAGGCCTTGGTCCCTAGCTTCCCCTGACAGAAACAGGCTGAGCCCACATGAGGAACCTGTGCATGCAAAGCCTCAGAGCAGCATCATTCTTCCCAGATGCTGTGAATGATCCTCAAATCTCCTTGGTAAAATAAGGTCACATTATTTATATGAACCGATTAAGTGGAGCTTATGGTTTATTTCCAGTTAGAACAAAATACCAGAGACAGGATAGGTCCACAAAAGAAAATGCTTTGTTGTCCAAACACACGTTCCCCACTGTGGACATGTACACTGCTGCTTGCCTGGTGGGACATGCTGAGGCCCCCAGGACCAGCTCTCAGGTAGTTTGTGGATTGTCTGCTCAGCAGTGGCCACCCTAAGGAAACAACTGGCTCCATCTCACAGCACAGGCTGGTTGCCAGATTTCTTCCTTAGCCTCTCTGGGTAAGTCTGAGCTTCTGCTCCCCTGAGCATCATCAGGAAAGCACACAGCTGGAAGAAGGCCTCCCTCCCACCATTGTGCAGCTCCCAGCTTCTCCACTTGCCCCACACCTCCCACACTGAAACTGTTGCTCAGGTTGGGCACATGTGCAGGCCCAGGAGCATAAAGAGGAGGACTGTTAGAGGCACAGGACTCCCACGTCCAAGTGTGCGCAGTTAGGAGCCACCAACATGGCAGTGAGCACACTCTAAGGAGGATGGCAGTGCCCCGGGTCTGGGGACAGCAGGGCTGAAAGTAAGCTGTTCCACACCTGCCGAATGAAGCACATTACCTGGGATGGCCACATTGTATGTGACTGTGATGCAGGGAGACTGTGGAACTGTGTAGGGTCACACTAGGATCAATGCCAACACCTGGGCCCCAACACCCAATATCCTCACCAGTTTTCCCCCACCCCAGTTCTGTATTGCCAATACCTTCAGCCACTTGTGTCCTCCTAGCCCAGGCCATGAGGGAGACCAGGATGCCAGGCTACCCAACACCCCAGTTAGAGTTACAATAGTGGCCAGACACTTCTTATGACCGTCACATAGGACAAATGGTGTTGAACACAGGGAGGAGTGGGACAAGATGCTGAGTAGGACCCTAACCTGTTTCGGAGTCTTCACTGTCAGAGGAGCTGGACTCGCTGGTGCTCTCAGATTCAGAGGAAGAGAAGCCCTTCATCTTGGAGGAACCAGCAATCACATCTACTTTCTCGGCTGCAGTAAAACAATAAGAACGGCATCAGGCAAGGCCCAACCCTGGGGCTGCTCTTAACACAAACTTACTCTGCTGCCTGGGGGAAGGGCCAGGGGCAGTCTGTGCCCCATAAGCCAGAAGGTTCCTGACAGCACCCTAGCCCCCAACCAGCCCCATGTTCCCCAGTGATAAGATGCTAACCTACTGCCTGCTGGCCAAAAACTTGGTTTATACTGGAATTTCAAAAAGCTTGCCCTGCGCCTGACCAATCTCTCAGAATCCCCTCTGCAGTGTTCATCAGGACTAAGAAACAGGAAGGAAGAAATTCCCTATGAGAAGGACCGTCAGGCTAAGGCTTCCTCAGTAACTTTCTTGACAGTGAGTGAAGCGGCCCAAGGACCCCTGGAGTCAGTCTGGGAGGAATGAAGACTGCATACAAAGCCCTGCTAAGGATCCTAAATCCTACTGGTCTTCAGACAAAAGCTGAGCCAAGACAAGGCATTTGTAACACGAGCTGCCTGGAAGACTCAGAGAGGGGGGGGCCATGCTGAGCTAGAGGATGGCAGGCAGGCACAGAGCTACCCTAAGACTCTCCCAGCCTCAACCCTCAGAGGCACCAAAGGGTGGGGTGAAGGGACACTGTGTGTGGGCTTTTGGGGAAAAAGACTTCAAAAGGCCGAAGATGACAACAGCTGCTCAGAGCAAGGGTTAGAATACCAAGGTGCAGGTAGGCCCCAGATAACCATCAACCAGAGAGGTCAAAAAAGGCACTGACAGCCCAGCGTCGAGGGCCATGTCACAATCCCCCAGAGGTATCTATGTCTAGAAGAGAGTCACCTGAGGTGCCCACAGGGGCCTCCCTGGTGGAAGGGCAGGAAAAAGCAGTTTGGCCAACCTTCTAACCTGGGACCCCCCTCCAACCCTCAAGCCCCGGGAGAACCGAAGGGCACCTTGAGGTTTCCGTTTCTTCCGCAAACAGGAGGTGACGTAGCGCTCCAGTTCCCGAAGGGTGGATGGCTTTAGGGTCTCGAAGTCGATCTCAATCTCATCGGGGTTGGAGTTCTTGAGTGAGGGCTCCCTTGACTGGATGATGTGTACCACTCGGCCCAGCTTCTCACCAGGGAGCTTGTTGATGTCCAGGCTGAGCTGGCGCTTCTCCTCATAGGACATGGGCTTGCACTTGTCCTCCTCCTCTGACTCGTACGCTGGAGGAGGCTTGTTCTTCATGGGCACCGGCTCCTTCTTGCTATGTGGGGACAATGCAGACACTGTCAGGAATGGGTACCCTGGGAAGCTGGGGACCTGTCCCACTCATTCATTGGAATGGGTCCTTTCTATACCCCCACCCTGCTGGTCTTCACTGTGAACAGGGGAGCTGCTGTGGCCTGTCCTTGCCATCTGCACCGTGCTACCTGTCACGCTCTCCCCCCAAACCTGGAGAATGCCAAAGGCTGTCCCTGCGAGAAGAGCAGAGGTAATCAACCTCTGACCGGGGCAGGCTAGGTCCCCATGGGGGCATTAGGGTGGCACAGACCTTGTGTTACTGTTGCTACTGTTGTTTTTCTTGGTCTTTTTGGGAGGAAGTTCCTTGGCTTTGCTTTTCTTATTCTCCTCCATTTCCTCTTTCTTTTTGTGCTTTTCTTTTTTCTTTTCCTTCTTGTCTTTCTCCTTTTTCTTTGGTTTGTTCTGCTGGGGCTGCGAGAGGGCTGCAAGCTGCTCGTGCACGGCTTTGAGCTATGGAATATACAGGCAAGACACATGCCTATTATACTGGTCTTGGCGAGGAATCCCAAGTATCAGGGCCCAGGGACGAGGGAGGGAGCTGGTACATAGCTCGCTGACCTACCATCCCATCAGATTTCTAAAGTGCCCATGCCCACCCAGGCCCTGGACTCCAAAGGTGCCCAGAGCAACCACCTAAACTGACTGGGCCCAGGAGGAGGATCCCTAGGAAATTGGGCAGGAGTGCAGACACACTGGGCAATAAAAGCCCAATGGCCAGCTTGCAGAGCAACCATGCAGCTCCTGGCTTGGCCTCCTTCTACACAATAAAAGGGTCCAGAAGCCTCCCTTCTGTCCAAAGAGCAGCCATCTCTCCCCATCTCTACCTGTGACATACACGTGTATATGTCAATATGCCCGCGATCTGGCACAATGGCACCACTGGAATGCTGCTCTTGCCAGGACTCAGAGCCATGATCATCTCATGGAGACCTCTGGGGAGAATGCTTGGTCCATGGACTCCGGGGGGAATTAGGGATGGAAGTGGTCATGCCCTCACCTGCTCCTGGAGCTCGGCCAGCCGCTGGGCTCGCTCCTCCTCAGAGTCATCAGTTGAGCTGTCACTGTCGGAGGAACTATCGCTGCTGCTGTCACTAGATGAGGGTGGGGCCACAACCTTGGTGGGAGGTGGCACCACAGGGGAGGACACAGCCACCATAGGCTCCTCAGGCTCGTCCGGCATCTTGGCAAAGCGCATCTCGAATACATCCTGAGGGGTAGGGAGGTAGGGATGGGGGAAAGCCAAGCCCGTCAGGGCTGCTGGGTTCCCAGGCATGTAGGGATAGCCAGGCTGTAGCCCAGTGTGACCATAGTTTCACTGGCTGCTGGGGACAACTCAATAGGAAGTGAGCAGGAAGATCAGAGAGCTAGACCGATGGTAACCCTTTCCCTGCCACTATGGCAAGACGCTGGCTAGGGCTCCCTGACACCAATTCCAATACTCCTCTCTCAAATTTCATGTTGAGGAGAAAGGTGCTTTTGACACAGCCTGGCACACAGTCTAGGTAAGGACAAGGGACATAAGATTGCAGGAAGCAGACAATCACTGAGGATCCTTGATAAATGGTGGGCTGAGACCAGGACCCACAGAAAGAGTGCTTTAAGGTTCTTGTCAGATTGGCACTCAGTCAGCACATCTCAAGGGAGCCTTCTAAATACTGGGACTGGGCACCAGAACACAACAGTGACCAGCGCAGGAGGCTCTGCCTACCTCTAGTTCACACTCCTGCAGGAAGGGTGTGGGGAGTGTACCAGACAGAGCAAATAGCATGTGCAAAGGCCCAGTGGTGAAAGTGCACCCAGCAGAGCCTTCAGCCAGTGAGGAGGTCAAACCCTGCTGCAGAAGGCACAAGGCTGGGTCTGCCTCTCCACTCATCAGATCACCTCTGGGGCACATAACTGAGCAGATCCATGCCACTGGCTAAAGTGTCTCGAGTATGCCAGGCAAGTTAAGAAAGTTACAAGATAGTGGATGTGGACATGCTGAGGATAAGCTACAGGAGGGTGCCAGCTTTGTGAGGTGTAAGCACCTGAGCAGAAACCACGGGACTGCTAAACTTGAGATCACACCTCAGGAGACACTGATACCTTCCAATCCGAAGATCCAGGAATCTGATGGGACTATGATGTCATAGCTCAGGGGGGCAGCAGCCCTCCCTGAGCACCTAGCAATCCAGCACATGCTGCCTCACTAATTAGCTGGCAGGTCCCATCCTACCTTGAGGGCTTCATTATCATAAATCCAGTGATGACCCAGGACAGAGGACAGAAATGGAAGCAGGATATTGGGATCTGCTTTAAGCCCGGAATAAGTCAGACAACATGGTATCTCACAGGATGGAAGGGGGCCTTCCCAAGTGTGAAATGATCCCCCAGAGAGCAGTGTGGCCCAGGAGGGCCATGGGATTGAGCTCCAAGACTGTTGTTTCAAACTGGAGCGCACTTGACAGAGCCATCTCATGTCTCTGGAAACACAGCTCCAGTTTCCCCTCCCCCTGGGCAGCAGGGCAGGCAGGCATCCCACACAACTGTGGTGCTGTCAACTCCCCTCCAGACCACTCAGTGTGGCCTCCCCTGAGGCAGCTCCTTTTCCAGGAAGGCCTGAACAATCCCGAAGCAGGTCTAAAGGATATGGAGAAAACAGGATGAATAAACAGAGACCACCATCCAGGCTGCCAGGGAAAGGGGGCTTCACACAAGAGCAGAGACCCTTGTGGTGTGAGAAAGATCCTCTCCACCCAGGTCCCTGAGTGATTTACACAAACATCTGGAAGATTTAGGCCTCCTGCCAAGAAGTAGGGGCAGGTGAGAGAATTGTGTCCAACAAGATGTCAGGGCATCAGGACCCCATGAAAGGGAGAGAGCAGCATGCAGGGCCCAGCACCCAGTGCTACTAAGAGGTAATTTTTTACCAAATGGGAGATGCTTCATGCCACCTGTTGTTGGCCCAGACTCCCCTGCCAGCTGCCAGGCAGCATTACTCTTGCCATAAGGATGTCCCTGTTTCTTCCGCACAGGTTTTGGCTGCTATGGAAATGGGGGGCAGGAAGAGAGACAGCATTTGTCCTGGTTTGTCTCAAGGTGGACCTAGCTTCCCTGCCCAGCATGCCATCATCTGCACCCTATCCCATGAATCTGGACCACATTGTGATTCTTTGCACCAGCAAATCACACTAGTTTCAGAACAAGTGCCTCCTCTTGCTAGAATGTTGACCAGAATCATTTAACCGGGCTGCATCAGATTCATGGAGGAAGTATACCCATCCCCCTTTTTAATGAAACTGAGATGTTTAGATGCTGGGAAACTGCAGTGCCCAAAGACCTCCAAGTGAATTGACTCAAAGCCAGGCAGCTGGAGATTCTTGGGGGGAGAGAGTATAGTCCAGCTCCATCTCAGCCAAGTCTGGATAGTGCTTTGGGGTATGGCTACACCCAAGGCACAGAGGGCACAAAGAGAGAAATAGAATACAGGCAGCGGGAGACCCACTAGGTGCCAGGAGCTAGAGATGCAGCCATGAGGGAGTCCTCAGACACACACCCCTCAAAAGCTTTCTGTTTCTGGGATCTAACATAGAATACCAACACGTTTCAGTTCATTTTTTCCCCTTACTATAAACACAATTGCATTCTACTTTGTTTTGCACTTTTTCTTGAAATAAACAGATAATCCACATGGGTACTAAACGTCCTAAATTACTTATTTCATAACAAAGAGAGGGCAGTACTACTAATAGCTCTGGTCCTAAGTTACCCTCAGGCTCCTGAAGAAACCTCAAGCCCAGAGGTTTGTGACAATAGCTGCCAAGCCCAGAGTTAAGAGGCTGGAAGAGGAAAACAAACAAAGAAGATCCTTTTCCATATCACACTTCCCGGGTATATCCCAGTCCTTGGGCACAGCCTAAGAGAGAAAGGTCTCAAGACCGATTATAGAGGCAAACAAGGGTTTGGGCTTTGTTCCTTTCTCTCCTCTCTCTCCCTGCTGAGAAATGCAGTGATCTAAACCATGTTGATCCAGAAGAGCTTTGAGAGAAAGAAATAAAGCCCACAATGCCATACATATAGCAACTGCCTTTCTAAGAGATGCCTTTCAACTCTGCCATTCAGCAGAGACCCCACCCTCCTCCTGGCATATTACTTTCAATAAGGTGACCCATACCTTGCATCAGACAAAGCAGGCTGGGGGTGGAGATGGTCCTGTGCTGAGCTACCCATCTGTGTACTGCCAAGTCCAGCCCAGCCTGGTACTTAGAATCAATGTTTAGAAAGAGGCTGCTGTGTGGCAAACATATCAGTGGCCTTGTTATGGGTAAAACCCACTCTGAACACTAGCTGCTTTGGCTCAGTGGATAGAGCATCAGCCTGTGGACTGAAGGGTCCCAGGTTCCACTCCGGTCAAGGGCACATGCCCGGGTTGTGGGCTCGATCCCCACCCAGTGTGGGATGTGCAGGAGGTAGCCGATCAATGATTCTCATCACTGATGTTTCTCTCCCCCCCCCCTTCCCCTCTGAAATCAATAAAAATATATATTAGGGGAAAAACAAACAAAAAACAGGGCCCTAAAAGCATGCTTATACCACTCCCGGAGGGTGGGGGAGCAAAATAAAGAAAACACCAACCTTAAAACAGGCACAAAAGTTAGGAAGATAATCTTTGGTACTGGCAGAGAACTTATTTGGGTTTATCTGTTTGCATGAAGGCAAATAAAGTGTGTGGGAATCAATCTGGGGAAAAAGCTGCCCCAGTCCTAGGAGGAGGGTTAGGTGTTTGTCTAGGGTGCAAAACTGCAGCCACTACTGCCATCTGGTGGCCACGTGTGAGAATTGCAGTAAAATGATAAAGCCTGAACTATTAATAATTCAAGGATGGGAAATGCTAAAGAGCAAACCAGTAGAAATGTGAAGAAAGCCAACACCACCAATAAAGAGAGTTCCCTTGCCTCCCCAATACTAAGACAAAATAAAACCAGTGAGGTCCATATTAATACGTGTGTTTTTTTTTTCCTACCCCAAGTGTTCTGGATACATTCTTTGAACCCAAGGCAGCACCTGACTAGGACAGGGGCTAAGTGAAAGAACCGGGGAGACTGTGCCTTGGCTGCAATAAAACAACATGTGGAGCTAACATATCTGGGAGGCAGGTGGGCAGCAGGGCTCAGGTTACCTTCAACTGGAATAGACCCACAGGACGCAAAAGTAGTTCCAAGTCCTGACTTCTGCCCTGAAGTATTTCACAAGTGGTTAGAAAAAGCCAAGTGTGAGGAAGCCCCATCCAGCCACCAGATGAGGGTTGGACATAGGATGGGAGATGGACCTGAGCACTTGCACCTTGTATTGGCATGTGGCCTAACCAATGGTCTGCTGTGTCTATCCCTAAAAGCAGAAGCAACCTGGAGCCTTATATGTGTAATTTTCAAGATTAAAACAAAAAAAAAAAAACAGCTTATAACAGTACTAAATATTGACTTTATTCTTCACAATTTAACTTCTGATTTTTCTAACCAAAGATTAATTGTTGCTATTTGTGTATATGTTCCCCTTAAACACACACAAACACACACAACATAATACACATATTTATGCTGTAATCTGCTCCTCCATTCCCCGCACATCTACAGTGCGCACAGCTCAGGATCCACTTGAAGGGAACATGAATCCCATTAGGGCATTATGAACACATGGGACATCTAAAAGCAGAGGCTCTGCAGTTGGAAGGCAGGCCAAAGCTTCAGGGCTATAGTAAAGAAATGCCCAAGGTCAAGTAGTTACTTTAGCTCACAACTGTGACAAAGTGTCTACCTGGCAGGAGTGTCACTCCCCTCACGTCCCTCCTGAGACAAGTCTGTTTTGGAGAAGAGATTGGCCATGAACAGCACACACTCTTCTAATCAAGGTCAACCAAATGCAAGGGAGATGGGTGCTTTCAGTGGGTGCCCCAAATGCCCCAGATCCAACCCCCAACCAAGCCCCTGCTTTAATCATAATGAAACGATCTCAATATGAAATATAGGTGTTATCCGGAGTCCACTATTCCAAAGCAATGTGGCATGCGCGAATAGCAAGTGACAGAGATAAAGTCTGCCAAGGCCAACAGAGGCCTGGCCTGCCCAGGAGCTTCCCAGAGCCTCACCTGGAGCTTTCGGGCCATGGCTACAACTTCGTGGTCAGGAGGGTTATACTTGTAGCAATTGGAGAACATCAACCGGACATCTCCACCAAAGTCCTGAGCATCACGGTACTCTCGGGCCTCCAGTTTAGACTGGAAAGAGAAGACAGGTTGTGTCTGCCCCTGCTGGTGGAAGGTAGCAACAGGGAGGGCTGCTAGCAGGAGCAAGTTGGGATTTAACCCAGACCATGGAGAGAGGTCATTACCCTAGTTTTCAGTGCCAGGTGGAAAAGGTAACACTCAACAGCAATTCTCAGGGCTGGAAATTGCCGTTAGGATGCAGATCCACCTATGTGGTTTTGCATAGGATAAGGGAGAAGTGGACATAGAATCCACAGAGGCAGAGCTTAAGCCAGAATTGAAAAGGGAGGGCTGGGCCCTGTTCTGACTATGTGTATAAAACTTGTTTTGGTGACACAGGACAAAACATTGGTGTAAAGGAACACAGTTGTCCCCACTGTGCCCACCCCATGTTTGGGTAGGCTTACTCCACTCTCAGGAGAAAAATGCAAAAAACACTTACAATAAAACCAGAAGGCCTCAGAATATGACAGCACTTGTCGTGTGCCTCCTACTGAGGGAAGACAGCAAGGCCCTCCCCATGACACAGAGCCTGACAAAGTCAACAACCCCTACACTCTCTGGAGCATCTACTGTATGCAAGGTATCAGTGGCACTGGGCCCCAAGGCCAAAGAAGGCTCTTTTCCTAAGACTAGGAAGCAGCACTGCTGTCAGACCAAAACTGCCACATTGTTTAGAAGCATGTTCCTACAGTTCCCAGAAGGGGGAGCTGCACTCCTTTGGGCTGGTGAGGCGGCTATAGAGCTGCCGGGGCACAGTTCTGGGGTCTTCCCTGGCCTCATGGACACCTGCTGGCCCACCTTGATTGTGCTCATATCCATGGGATGCTTGATGATGTCACAGTAGTCATGAAGGCCCAGCGCCTCTACGTCCACGGGCTTGTAGAAAGGCCAAGCATAGGCCGCATGCTTCTTGGCAAACATCTCCTTGAGGATGCCACTACAGCACTTGAGCTGCTCTGAGATCTTGCTGCTCTTGTCCAGTGCTGGGTGCTGCTGTGAGTCAGGCACATCCTTCTTTGGGGGCTTCACAGGCCGGCTGCTCTCCCGCCGTGGGCCCAGCTTGGTGGTCTTGGGCTCTGGGGGCAGCAAAGGTGGCTCATGAATGGAATCGATGGTAGTGGGAGTGGTGGTGTCTGCTTTCCTCTTAACACCCTTCTTTGTCTGTAGAAAGCACAGAAGAGATAAGCACAGTCAAGGGTGTGCTTGGCATTTCGAGCCCTCAAAATCACTTCTGAGACCAGGTCCTTCCTAAAGTCCCAACCCTCCCAAGGAATAGGAGTCCGTGTCCCACCACTCTGCTCTGCAGCTAGGACAGGCCCTGCTAGGGGTAGAAGAATGCATGCCACTGAGCGTTGTATTTGCTCATTAAAGGCCAACAAAACATTCTGACCATAGCTTCCTACTCGGAGGATTCTCAGATCCAAGACTGCCAGTAGGCCACCTTGGAAGGCACCTTTCAGAAACCATTTAGCTAGCTTCTGTCAACATGTATGCTCTAAATCACAAACGGGAGGGGCAACAACCTAAAGAGACAGTGCCTCCATAATGGGATCTTTGCGTCAGTAGCTTCTGGATTATGCTGACTTAATCTTCTCCCCCATCCCCCAACACTCACAAGTGCCCTTGGGAGCCAGGACACCCTCTTCATAAAGCACCGGCAAGGATGGGCAGCTATCTCCTGCAAGGCTCACTGCTACAGACCAAGGAGTAGGGGGTGATAGGAGCCACCAGTGGTTGGGCTGGGCCACACACAAGCACTTAAGGGACACTCACCTTCACAGGCTGTGGGGTGGCCGCAATGATGGGTGGATGGCTCTGTACAGGTTGGGGAGCTGGCGGGGGTGGGGGTTGAGGGGGCACAGGCGGGGGAGTCTGCAGTGGCTGGGGAGGCACCACTGTGACAGGGGTCTGGACAATGAGGTCTGGGGTGATGGTGGAGAAGGAGTGAGGTGTGGCCTGCACAGGTGGAGGGTTTTGCTGAGAGGTCTGTGTCTGCGGAGGAGTCGATGCTTGCGTTGTGTTTGGTACCGTAGAGACGCCAGGTTTTGCCGGCCCTACCAACCATAAAAGGGATAGGTGGTTAGAAGCTGTATCTGACACATGCAAACCGACCTCCTGGGGACATTGCCACATGTGGTGAGCACAGATCTTCATAGATGTGGCACACAGTGCCACCATAGCAATCTGCCTAAGAGAAAACATCTCAAACAACCTAGACCTCAGCTAAGTCTGTCAACCTGCTGGGGAGGGGTGGAATGGGATGGAGAGAGTTTGCTTCAGTAGTGGTGGGTGCATTGCATTCACACTTCCTGGGGATCTTGGCTGCAAGTATCCTCTTGGGCACAAAGACCCTTCATAAGCAGGGAGGCCTGGGCTGAAGGAGGAAATACACATTGAGAGTCAGCACCAGGACTGCAACTCAAGAGCAGAAAAATGTTTATTGGCAATTTTGGGGGGTGCTGTCCTCACTTCCAGAAGCACTTCCTCTGAGCAAGTGTTCCTGGTAGGGGGCGGGCATTAGAAGCCATGGCCAAGGCTTCTGGAAACTGGCAAGCTCCCACTTTCCGGAGCCACAGAGAGACTGGCCAGCTGCTGCCTCCCTACAGCTGTGCGGGTGAGCCTGGATATACAAAGCCCTATGTCTACCCCCACACACAGGCAGGTTCTGTGGCTAAGGGGTGACTTGAGACCAGCTCTCCTTGGCTACCCCTCAGCATTGCAGGGTACTAACTCTGATTGCTTTCATGAAATCACCACTTCTGAGTGCGGTGGGAAGTCAGGTGATAGCTGGCTCCTGCAAGAAGCAAATAGCTTATAGCAAGCATCACCATTCTGCATCACCATGAACGGCAAGATGCAGAAGGCAAGGATAGGCACTGAGATAGGCAAGGCAGATTAAAAGTTCGGGCACCAAAAAACAGGCAGGGCTCCAACACAAGCACATTAAGATAACTCAGATAACAACCCCTGGAGACTCTAAGATTGGGTTTAATTAAAAATGCCTTTGGGCAGGTTAAGTTCTTTTCTCTAAAATGAAAAAGCGGACAATATCTATGGTGCTGGCAGGGTAAAGAATGAACATAATTTTAAAATATTTTAAAGAAGTTATACTTTCTTCTTAACTGAACCCCATCAAAAAAGGCAGGGCTCTACTTTGGGGGAGGGTTACACAGTCATGGGACCTGCTGGGGTAGGTCCACCACTGAACCTGGTCCAACCGTATCCAACCAGCAGCCATCTTCCTACCACTCCTAGTCTACTGGAGTGGAGAGGGGCAAAAAATGGGCAGAAATGAAGCCATTTCCTCGTTAATTCAGTGTGGGGGCCCCTACCTGCTTCTTTCCTTCCACGTCCTCTTCCTTTTGCTGGAACTATCATGATCTCTGTTTCTTCTGTGGGCAGTTCATTGATTTTTTGCAAGAAGAGCTTCTCCAGAGCTTCTGCCATTAAGACTATGTCATCTCCAGGCTGGAAGAGACATGTAGGGTGAGGATCAGAAACTCACACCCCCAACGTCTAAGCAGAGCAAGAATTCTACACACTTTGCCACCACCTCTGCCCAAAGTATGAAGCATCATATTCAGGTTCCCCGAGATGAACCCCAAAGGCCCACAACACAGCTATACCACTAGGCATTACAGTCTCAGGTACCTGCATGTCTGCTGAATCAGTACCTCCCTCTCTAGCCTTTTAAGCTCTGGCCTATCTGAAAAACCATCCTTATGCCTTAAACATCTAGCAATCTATCAATCAGACACAGGGGCCCTTCTTTTAATACTATTCAACTTCACTAGATGTACTTGATATACACATGGTTTTCTGCTACAGATGTTAGCAGAGCTCCAACCATGTTCCTCAGTGTATTCCAAGCCAGCTCACTGGGGCTCTGGGCAATGACCATCTCATACTGCCTTATGGATTCCCAATCTCCCCTAGTCTGTAATATGCTGTTTCCACTCAGCTTTAAACTGAGAACCTCATCTGTGCACATTTTGCTTAAATCTAAACTTAAATTCAATAGTGAGAGCTGAGAATTTTAAAAATGTGGTAAACTTCAAAAAACTCACCTACCCATCTCTTCTGGGCAATTTTACTCACTATACCAGTAGAGGTCAAAGGGTGATTTCTGTATAGTGTCTCCCTCCAAGGTCGTTCTATTTGAAAGGGTTGGTTTTAATCACATGTGTGGTCTAAACTGTAAACAAATGATCCGGCTTCATGGCATAGCCAAGCTTTAAGGTTTGGCTACGGAAGTAAGAAGTGATCTTCAGGTCTACAGGTAAGACTGAGGGACGCTTGCTTCTATCGCTACAAGTTGACAATAGTCATGTTCACAGTTCCAGATGAGGCAGGCCCCATTGCCCCCTCTCTCACATTGAGGTTTCTGTTTGAGCATACATTTTGTAGACTTCTTCTTGACAATTTACATCATCCAAATGAACTTTCTAGCAAGTCCTCATTGTTCTTCTCATACCTTCTCTACTACACATACTCAAGAATCCAAATCCCAAGGGCATAAGAAGCATGTGCTTCAAGCTAACAAGGACGGCTCAGAATGAAAACACAGCACCCCTTTCCCCGCAAAAGAATCACAGTCATAAGCAAAACCATGGGTTCCATTACCCCCGCTTCTAACAGTGTCCAATCTACTCCAATAGCCCTACCTATGCGCTTTAGACATATCCGCCTCTTCCTCCCAGTAGGGCAGCTGGACACTGGCCCCAACATCTCACCTTGTTGTAGATGTAACAATTTGTAAACATAGTGTTGAAGTCCTGGATACATTCCTGAGCATTCCAGTAATAGTTGTTTTCCAAGCGCTTCTTTATTGTTCCCATATCCATAGGTGTTTTAATGATCTTATAGTAATCCTGGAGAGCAGAGAGAGCAAAAGGCCAGTGTCACCTCTGCAGTCACACAGCACTCATAGCTGGGCCTACAGATCTCACAGGTCACTCCACAGATGCATAGCCTGAAGTTCTTCCATGGTGTCAGTGAACAATTTCAAGGGGACTCTAAGATAAAGGAGACCAGGGAAGGATTCCCAAATGCTAGTTGGTAATTTGGAGGAAAAACATTCAAGTTTGCCAACTGCCCTGTCTGGGAACAGGTTGTCTTTACTGAGATTTTTTTTTTTTTTTTGTATGTTATAGTGATCTTCCTTTTTAAATAAAGAAAGGGGAGAACATACAGCCTTTACAAAAGCAATCCTTATCTAATAAAACCACTTGTGGCAGGTCCTACTTTCTCTCCACAATGTGAAATTTTATGTGTCCATAAAATGCAGACTCCAATGGAACCAGTAGTGGAGCTCACCCCTAACAACTGGATCCCTTACTTGTCACACTGAATAATCATGGAGCAGACCTCTACCTTCAGTCAAATTCATTGGACTTTCACTTCTTTTACTTGTACACAGTCTACCACGAAGGAACCATTAGTATCTGGTACAAGTAAGCAATAAGCAGGTTAACTGTCAAATGAGGCATCTGCACAGCCTTCACAGACCCTCCTCACACCCTTGGAACTTATTCTACAAGAGCCAAACAGAAGGAGCCATATGGCAGGCATAGATGTCCACAAGCCCTTTGGATTAAACACCAATATCATCACAGCTTTCTTCTAAGTCTAGAATACTAAAACCAAATGTTTAAAACAAAACAAAACAAAAAACCAACCATAGGGGAATTTGGGGACAGAATAGGCAGTACCTAGGTTTCCAGATGGAAGGACCAGAGAGCCAGACAGGGGACCTGCATGCAGCCACGTAGCCCCACCAAGAACCCCCTAATTAGGCTTGAATGGGTAACAGAACCAAGTCCAAGTGGAAGCCTATGGCAGAGGAAGGCCTGTTAGCATATGCCAATGTCCTAGCTGGGAACAGTGGTGGGCAGTACTGACAAGGCAAGCTGAGGGTGTGAGGTTTTGAGTTGCTCTGACACCCAGGAGAAAAGGAACAAAAATCACCAGCTCACATAGATCCCAGCTATAGGCATCTTGGCCAAGAGGCCTCAAAGGGGAGACTGAACCAGACTTTTCCACTACATTATACTGTGCTCTGATCACCTCTCCCAAGAGAATCAAGTCCAGATATATCTGTCCCAATGGAAATTCAGATTTATGGTCAGAGGTCTCTTAGAAGGTGTCAACTGCTTGAAGTGACCACAGTGTGTCAAGTGACTCAAGGGCAAACAGGACAGTGGTTGAGGATAAAGGACATGGTAGGAGGTGAAATGAAGACAAAAAGAGGGTGGTAGGGAAAAGGGACTGACAAGGAGGCAGTGGGTTTAGTGGGATGACAATCCAACCATACATGTGTACTGAAGTTAAAAGAGGCAGACATTCTAGTGAAATGTCCAACAAGAACCAGAGACCAAAATGGAGGTGAAGATCTGGAAGGTATAAGAAAACAGGAAAAGAAGAAAAGGAAAACTTTTTTGGGTGAGCCTATTAATATCACCCAAAGCGGGAGATGGAGGGGTGGGGGATTGAGTCCCCTGAAAAACTGGGCTTTAGCATGACCTTGCTCCCAGCCTACCACCACCACCACCACCACCACCACCACCACCACCACCACCACCACCACCACCCCGCCCCTCTGAATCTACTTCTCACTATTCCTACCTCTCTAAAGATACTGGATCAGTGCCATTATCTATCCGCCTCTCCTTCCTATATCAGAACTGCTGAGGGTGATGTCAATAGTCACAGAGACAAGGGGAATCCTTGACCTAATAGACAACCCACCCCTGTGGCTGTCCCCCAGTGGCTAGGATGCTGCTGCCTAAAAGTCCCCCAGTGTCCTTTCTCCTGTCTGCCTCACCCTCTCAGCCCTCTGCATCACCCTATACAAACCAACCCCTTCTTTGTTCTGACCCTGCCGCGTTTCCCTTCAAAGCCAAATTTCTTTGAATGATGGCTTCGTGTCCTCACCTTCTCATTCACACCGTCGAGAATCTGGTTTCTACTTCTGCGTCACATCTTCCTAAGGTCACCAATGCCTTCCTAAAGGCCAACAGGAGGGTCAGGTAGGAATCCTCATTTCTGGCCCCCCTGTAGCCTCCAATGTGGAGACATGGGGGACTGCTCTCTGTTGATAGGTCCCTGGCTCTCCTCTGCAAGCTCCCACCTCCCTGGTTTCCACCCCAGGGCTTCTTCTCCCCATTTTTTGTATTTGCTCTAGGAAGATCACCCTTATCAGGGACACTGCACAACCAGCTTAAGCAGAGACCAGAGTAGCAAGCTCTCCCAAGAGCTTCCCTCTAGTGACAGGTCAGCTGCCTCTACCCTTTGTTATCATCAATGAAAAGTGTGGCCTCTGTGGCCTCTGAAGTCCAAATTTGGCGAGGACCCTCTTTTGCCTCCATCCTCTTTCCTGAGCCAGTTCATGACTCAGGCCTGCAGTGCCCTCTCCCGACTCTCTCTTCTCAAGTGCACATGTATTCAGCGAGAACACTGGACAGTTGTCCCAGATATAGTGGCCTTTAAGCCAGGAAAATCATGCCAGTGTGTTCATCCTACTTGAAACTGGATGCCTGTTTCAAGGTAAAGGTCCTAGTGTATATAGCTCTAGCACTCATAAATCGCTGCCTGGGTTATCTAATTCCAATTCCTTGGGGTTGCAGGTGCAGGGATGGGACTTAGCAAACAGCAGAGGGCAACTAAAAGACATTCAGTCCTTGATGCTTTGAAGAAAAAAACAAAGCATTTATCTCATTTGTTCCTTGAGATTCAGTTAAGGTTCTAAGTCGAGTTTCCAGAACTATTTGCTAGGAATGTGGACAAACAGAAACCTCTCTAAAGAGAGAAGAGGCAGAGTACAAAATAAATAAATAAAAAACACACACAACAACAACAACAACAAACCACCAAAAGCTAGTGCGGTATAGCCACAAAGGGGTGGGTAGGCATGAAGGCATGCAGAGAGGCAGCTGGGACAAAGATGTACCCATATCTGGCCTCCAGCCAGGCCACTTCCATGAACTTGCTCCCTGGGAAATAATCAACCACCTTTCCTGCCCTATGCTCTGAGTGACAATGATGGTGCTAGTACCAGAAGAGGATTGCTCCTGTAGCAAGCCAGCCTTCTCTTGCATGGTTTGACCAACCACTTGTACTTCAGGGAAGGTTAGGAGCACCTGAAGAGAGGGGACAGAGAAGTGCTCCCACTTCAGCTATCCATGGAATGAATGAAAGGAAAACTGCAAGCACTCCTTTACCTTTGTTTCAATTGCTCTCTACACAATACTTCCTGGAATCCTAATCTGCTTAAGCCAATAAGCACGTCCTTTATTCTTCCTCATTACTACTCATTAGAATTGCTGGCCAGAGGGTGCTGGAGTTCAGAGCTGGGTCTCATGCTTTCACAACAATTCAAGCATATCTCTACCCTGCCCTAGAGTCTATCCTCCCCAGGAGCAGCGTAAAAAGAGTCCTGGAAGATGCTACTCTGGGTTCCTGCTCAAACTACTCACAGGGAGGTTTAGCTTGACGGCGTCCACAGGCTGCTGGAAAGGCCACGCAAATTGGTGTTTCCATAGTGTCTTGAGCACCACTTTGAGCAGATATTGCAGTTGGTTGGTCTGCCTCTTGGGCTTGTTGGGGTTGGAGGTCTCCGGGGGCGGGGGATTGGTGCTGGCTGCGTTGGCTTGCTGGGGTTGGGCTTGGGCCTGCGTTGTAGACATTTGGGTAGTTTCTAGTCCATCCCCCATTACGGGCAGATTTCTTAATCTCGTCCCAGGGCCGCTCTCCGAAGACATGCTACTGATCCCATCACATTCTTCACTGGGCACTCTAAAAGGGAAAAGAAAAGCCACAGTCAGTGAAAAGGCACCACCATGATGACATGTGTCTCCACACCACCACCACGACCAAGAACTAAGCTCCTCTCACAGAGACTGGTTGATCAGCTAGGCCAAGGAGCCACTCCATGCACTGACTAAAAGGACTCCAAGGCCTGCTCTTCTCAAAGACTGGTCATCCAAAAGGAAAGAGAGAACAGGTAACAACGGGGAGAAACAGGGCATGGAGGTAAGCCAAACAGGAGGTGGCAGGAGCTGTGACTCTATGGAGCTCATGCAGGAGAAACAATGAGCAACAAATCTGATTTTTAGAAAAATAAACAAACAAAAAACCAACACAAAATAAAAAAGACAAACCAAGTTTTATAACATCTGAGAGTTTTTAGGGGGCATTGCCCATGTATGAGAGAGCCCCAAATATGTCATTTATATTAAAATTCTTGTTTGTATTTATGGCTCATGAATCATGAAACCAAGTCAGTAATTCCATTTGATGAGCAGAGGCCAGGCAGGAAGAAGTAGAAAGGCTGGCTTGCCCTTCTTGGATGGCAACTGTCCTCTACTGAGTGTTCCAGGCAAAGCCTCATGCTTACTAAGAACATCTTCTGGCAACTTAAATAACATGTGGTTGTTGATTAAAGAATCCCACAAGGAACTGCTGATAACACAATAATGAATCCATACTTGATCTAACATTTTATTAACTTGGCTTTAAAGTTTATTTATCACCACTCTCGCCCAGCGCCTATCTAAACGCCTTGTCCTGTGGATCCTTGAATGACCCTTGCTTCAAGCCACACCAAATTCTGTAAAAAGCATCCTTACAAGGGTGATTTTGTGTACCTGTTGAAGTTATTCTAAAGAGACAACTGTCGGTCAGGGGTATATGTTTTTGTTTTAAAAACTGATTTCAGAGGGGAAGGGAAAAGGAGATTTTTATTATATATATATATATATATATATATATATATATATATATATATATATATACTCAATGATAAGAGAACCACTGATCGGCTGCCTCCAGCATGCTCCCCACTGGGGATTGAACCTGTAATCCAAGCACATGCCCTTGACCAAAATCAAACCCGAGACCCTTCAGTCCACAGGCTGATGCTCTCTTCACTGAGACAAATGGCTAGGGCAGGGATACACGTTTAAAAAAAAAAAAAAAAAAAAAAAAAAAAAAAAAATATATATATATATATATATATATATATATATATATATATATATATATATATATATATATATATATATTGGTTTCAGAGAGGAAGGGAGAGGGGAAGAGAGAGAAACATCAATGATGAGAAAGAATCATTGATCAGCTGCCTCTTGCACACCCCCTTACTGATGATCAAGTCCGAAACCTAGGCCCTTGTCCGGAATAGAATCCAGGACTCTAATCCACAAGCCAACATTCGATCCACTGAGCAAAACTAGCTAGGGCTAACATTACACGTTTTTATTGCCAAACCGCTTTCCAGACACACAAACGCACCCTTATTCATAGTGCTGAGAGTTCCCAGATTCTATTAATGAGAAGAAACATTGCTCAAACATGTGCTGACCATTTGCATTCTTTTTGTACACTGATTTTCTGACAGTTTCCTACTAGCAAGACAAAGGAATGATCAGCTTTAAACCCAGTGACAGCACAAGACAGACTTTGTTGGCTAGCAGCTGCCTACATCACAGGAGCATTTCCTTTAGTAAACCCAAGAGTTACTAGAGATAAAAGAACTCTGTCTGAGGAAGTCAGGCAAGGGCTTATGAAAGAGGACCTATTTTAGGACCACAGGACTCTGGTAGGCAGGGGACAAAACAAGACAGGGAAAACTGACTGGCTCTGTCACAACTTTCTTTCTGGAACTCTTAGCACATGCCAGGCACTCAGTTGATTAATTACTTTATAATCCAGTCCACATGTAATTTTAACCAAAGTTCCCACAAAGATTTTTGCAAATGCAATTCTGGTAAATGATCAAATTTTAAAAGCATCAGGGGGAGAGAGCTTGCTATGTAAAAGAAACTTGGTGGGGCTATAGAGAGCTGGACTTCCTGAGGCAGGCAGGCGGGGTCCTGGTTACAGGATGAGTCTGAGGCTAGCAAAACTGACATGGCCAGAGAGATAGCTTTTCTTCCATAGTGCTCTCATCAATCATGCTGCTTGCTCTAAGGAATCTTGCACCCCATGTTGAACTTAAGTATTTAATGAAATCTAACTACGTCTAAGACATCAGACAAAAATTTACAGTATGTGCCCTCCCAGAGTACTCCTAAGTTTCAAGAAGGGAGGGATGGCTCCTAAGGTAATCTCTAAGAAATGTGGGTTCTATTGGAGAACAGAGCCCAGAGCTCAGGCAGAACACTTAGAGGAAGAGGGGTCAGGGAGGCCTTTGTGGGTGCCAGGATTTCTGGTACCTCTTGCACATACGGTGCTTGAGATAAGGAAGGGGCACTCCGTGCTGGCATGAGAATGTGATTGAGACTGGAAGTGAAGATCAGCTGGGCAGCAGCTTGTGGGGTGTAGCTCCAAACTAAGAGAGCAGTGTGTCAGAAATGCAGGATAATGAAGGGCATTCCGCTTAAATAACTTCATCTGACAGAGGGCCCCAGGAACACTATTTGGACTACAATAGTTTCCAAAGGAAGGTGTAACTGGGCAGGCCTGCTTCAGGCTCTGGGAATACATGGCAAGTACCCATTGGGGTGGTACAAGTGTGGCTAGAACTAATGGCCATGTGACATCATTCAGAAAAAATAGTGGCTATAGCATAAATCAATACAGGGCAATGAGGAAAGAGGTGACACTGGTAGGAAGGAGACACATGAAGGCACCTGACTGGGAGTTCTGGCAAGAAGAGATGTGCCCCAGAGCCAAGACCTGAATAAAATGCACTCCAATGAAAGCTGCAAGGGGGCCAATAGAGTTAAAAATGCCTACAGGTAGATCCAGGGAGAAGCACCCAAAGGCGGGGAGTAAGGGATGGAACTGTCAGAAAAAGCTTGCTCAGAGAATAGAGAACAAATACTGGTGACCCAAGCAAGATGCAGCAGTGTGTCGTGAGTAACCAGAGAAAGGGAGAGAGGGAGTAGCAGCACCCTGAAAGCTACATTTGGAAGGGCAGGAACCTTGCAGGCAAAAGGCCTGTCTTTATCCTGAGATGAGCGGCAAGAAAAGGGGTTTCTCCAAGTTCTCAGGTTTAGATGATCAAGAGTAGGACCTCAACCTCAAAGAAACAGGGTCTACAGCCATCTGCAGAGCGACACGCCAGGGTTTGGGTGAGGCCAGGGTTTGGGTGAGGCCGGGGGAGAGTTTACAGACTATTATCTGAACAGAACTTAATAATGTTGTTTTGCCGAAACCGGTTTGGCTCAATGGACAAAGCGTCAGCCTGTGGACCAAAAGGTCCCAGGTTTGATTCCGGTCAAGGGTATGTACCTTGGTTGTGGGCACATCCCCAGTGAGGGGTGTGCAAGAGGCAGCTCACTGATGATTCTCTCTCATCGATGTTTCTAACTCTCTATCCCTCTCTCTTCCTCTCTGTAAAAAAAAAAAAAAAAAAAAAAAAAAAAAAAAAAAAAAAAAAATCAATAAAGTACATTAAAAAAAATGTTGTTTTGTTCTCATGGTATCATTTACTGCTATCCATGTGTGTTCTGATTTGGCTTTCTTTCAGAAAAAGGTGCTATAAATAAAACAGTAAATTACACACACACACACACACACACACACACACACACGCGCGCGCGCGCGCGCGCGCGCGCGTGCAATATGAGATGGGTGAGGCAAGAATGGTGAGTCAACAGGAGAGCTGTAGGGGAAATGGAGGCCTGTGCACAAGGCCTCTGGCTTGTGGCCTCAGTTTGTGACTCTCTCCAGAGGGGAGCCAGCCAAGACCGACTGCATGACTGAAAGCTACAAGTGGAGAAGCCAATGGGCCAGGAGAGTTTGTAGGAAACTGTTGGAAGAGAGAGGGATGACAGAAAAGCATTCATAGAACATCAGACTTCCACGATTAGGTAAGTGGACGGGATAGTCATTTACTGGAAAACATCCAGGCCAGTGAGACAGGAGTAGACGGATGAACGACTAGGCAACTTGCCAGCTGGCCAGGAGCCCTTGGTTCATGGCTTGCAAATGAGACAGGGAGGTACAGGACATGCCTTTGGGAGTGCTTATACTGACAGAGGGGCAGCACCACGGAGAAGTAGTTTTCAGTAGGGTTAAAAATGCCTATAGTTGGCCACATAGCAGACCAATGTGCTTAAAGGAACAAAAGGGGACAAGTGGCCCCATCATGAAGGGAGGCCTGAGTTTGTGCTAGAGAAGTGAACATGGGAGGGAGAGGTGTGACAGTCGGCCCCGTCTGCCCAAGAGATAAGAACTCTGGAAACAGACCAGGCCAGGGGGGAAAAGTTAAAAAAAAAAAAAAAAAGTCAGTCGTAACTTAGTGCCGGGAGAGATTGGGGTCATAAAAACCGCAGCATCCTGCACTCCCACTGGGAGTCAGAACAGACATTCTGTTTGAAGCAAAACAGGCCAGGTTGTGTAAATCACCTAAGGAACAGCTAAGGACGGCCAGTTCTTTGTCCTGGGGGGGCCAATCAGAGGGGACAGACCAACAGTGGGATGGGATGGGAAAAAGAGGTACAAGAGGAGGGACTGCCCCTCCATCGGGGCTCTTGCCTGGGTGTTTGCCGGCTGCTGCGTCAGCCAAGGTTTAAGCCCGGGTTCGAATCTGTAATACATTCTTGCATGCTTAATCAAATTGGCTCCGGTGGTTCATCTCTTGGAGACTCGCTTCGTAACAAGAGGGCATTAAATGAAGATAAAGAATGATGTATGCCAAAACCAGTTTGGCTCAGTGGTAGAGCGTTGGTCTGTGGACTGAAAGGTTCCAGGTTCGATTCCGGTCAAGGGCATGTACCTTGGTTGTGGGGTACATAGGGGG